TATATGAATATTCAGTTGAACAGACGTATATATATATTCCTGTATACGTTTAAGTTCTTGTTCTGAATTATCTTTCCCAATATCTATGTCATATATAGTGAAATATTTGCATTGGCAGATATAGTGCATGTTTGGGAAAGCTTAAATTATAACTTAAGCCGGTCAAATATACTTTTTTATCCACACATTTCATAGGAGCCCACACTCCCCCCAGGACTTGGGCCTTATCTCATAATCACCTGAAAGCACTCCCAAGCATGCTCATAGATCGTTGTTGCTTGTCAATTTACATCATTTGCATTGAATGGCAGGAGTCGAAACAACACGGCATTTCTTGCTGGAGTGGCTTAGTTACACATGCAGATATATACCTGTCGGTCTCTTAGACGTTATCCCACAAAGGATTAATTGGCGGCCGCCCTCATATTTTGGTCGTGATGACCTCGAGACACTAATGGCTTCTGACTCAGCTGCCGATTGGGTACATTATTTGTCCTCTCTAGTTAAACCTACTTTTTTTGTTCGACATTCAGTTTATTTGCTTACCATGACTCAGAGCATATTGTTTCTGCTGCAGATTAGGATATCCGAGATGTTACTCGGCAAGGTTCCCGCAGGGTTCACATTTTCACCCAAGCACAAGTCTAATGCATACGACAGAGCAGAAAACGGCTAACATAGATAAGTAAACCGTACAAGGGTGGTGACAGAAGTCATATCATGTTGCACTAAATTGCTTTTATGAAATTGCATCTTAACTATAATATTTATTTTTATCATGTATACAATTTTATTGATGAACATTATTTGAGAGGAAGGGTACTTGATTGTATCTTAATCTTTTGTTCTTTGTAATAAGAAAAGGAAAAATGTAGTTGATATTGGACAAAAATAATTTTGGATGTATAAAGTGGGAAAAAACACTTCTTTTCGAGTTTATAAGAACTAAATGGTTCGAGTTTGATTCTCAATTTTAGTAAAAGAATTTAAATTTAATTTAGTTATATTATTATAATTTCAGATTGAATTAAGTAATTTGTACAAATTAATATGTATTTGGAATTATCAGCACTAAAATTGCATTTATTGCCTGAAACCGAAAACGTGAAAATGGGAAATTGATTTATAAATTTGCCAAAACCGAGAAAAATATTTGACTGCTCGGGCTGGATAACCTAAAACGGATCCTCTATGGGTGAAATGTCGTCGTTTAAACCCAATTTCGACTATAATCTTGGTGATTTGTCGATCAAGATAAAAGAGAGGAGCAATAAAATCATCACGCATGATTTTGTCATGACATCTATTTAAGGAATTTTGTTATTTGTACCCGGAGTGTTACACTCTGGGTTACCACCCCTCAAATGGAGGGTGGGTCCTACACATCACATGGAGGGTGGGTCTCACGTCCAATAAATGCATGGGACCCGCCCCTCATATGAGGCGCAGGTAACTCAGAGTGTAACACTCCGGGTAACTGTCGCAAATTCCCTATTTAAGATGTTATACTCTGGGTAATTATAGCAAATTCCCTATTTAAGATGCTATCAAAACAGCTAAATGCTTGGAAATATGTACAAAGCAATATTAAAGAAAGGGTTATGCCTGTCCAGGCAGCACAAGTGCCCCCTCCAATAGGCACAGGAGCCAATTAGACGCACGAAAATTGTTGTTTATACAACATTTGTTTGACAGCTTTTCTCACAGTTGTCTTATAAACGTGGGGTCCAAGATTATTTTTAATCGTGGACCCCACTCACTTACATGTGTGTGCTATGAAAAAAACTGTGAAAATTGATGTACCTATAGCATTTTTATTAGACGCATTGTCCAAGTATCTTTATCCATAAAGAAAAGAGCGTAGGTCCTGTCTAAGTATCTTTATTCATAAAGAAAAGAGTGTAGTCAAATATCAGGATTCCCTACTATTGAAGTTCATGTACTTGGGATACGCGGTGCTAGATTAGCAAGATGAATCATGTCAACTTAAAATGGTCTACTTGACTTGTCTAGATAAAGTATATACACTTTGGACCATGTACAAAATTTTTGAAAATCTTATCTACGTTGTACATTTAAATAATCTCTTTCATCTAGTACAAACTACGTGATTCATCTAGACATACAAGGCTTTTTCAAGAGTAGAATCAAATAAAACTTGTCCAATCTAATATGCAAAACACAACACAAGATAGTATGTTATGAACGCAAAGCAACACAATAGTCAATCATTCCACGCGTCTCCCTTTTTTGTAGGCTAGAAACCATAACAAGATTTTACAAAAAAGTTCCCGACTCTAAATGAAGCTTCTTTCATTTATTAGAATATAAGATTTATATATAAATAAGCTCTTGCATGTAATCAACAAGAAACAACTGATGAAGTAACATTTAATCTGGTAATAGTCTTTGCTCATTGATAAATTCTCCCTCAGGGTGGAGGAAGTTTTTAACTTTTACGAATCTAACCAAGAAAATATTGATATTATCACTAGAAATATTATACATTGTAGACATCTTTCTTTAAGACAAAGTACCACGAATTGTATTAAAACCATGCTCTTAGATAATTTGAAACCATAGGTTTTTTGACCAAATTCCATTATTTAAGTTGTCACTTATTTATTTATTTATTAGCAATAATACATCTGCTCTGAACGACATTGTAGGGCCTCCCATTGAATGATCAAACCCGAATTCTTCCTCAACTTGATATAACAATTCTTGAAAAGACAAATGTTTGAAAGTACAATATTTGAATGACGAATATCGTCTTCTCACATTCATCAACATAAATCGCAAAATACCCTTTTGGAATATTGGCTTAATCATGGTTTCCCGTGAATGAAGTGTTGGTTAGTAAATAAGGATTTTAGTGACCTTGAGATCATTGAATTATAAAATCATCACACATAGAAAAGGGAGATGATAACCATTTGAAGGAGCTATTAATGGCTTAGTCAATTGCTTCCTCCGTTAGATTTTCTCTCTTATTCTCCACTAAGTGTAATTCCTTTTTGGGGAAAGTGAAAAGTGGCTAACCCTAATTCTCATTCAAAATATGCCAATAAAGTGCATATTTATAATGCCTTATTAGGATTTGAAAATTGCACAAATTTCTTTGAACTTTATTGTAGTAGGCCAATTAAGTTACACACATTTTATTGCAGCCAAAAGAGGGACCAACCGGACTTACATTACCCAAACTCCAATAGATATTTTCAATTGGGTCAACTCTTGACCAATTGAGATACATCTATTAATCCTGACTTATTCTACCAAAAAATCGAGATTGCATTCTCGAGTTGAGTGATAATTATAGAAGCAAATTATGATCCAATAACAATATCCTCTGATTATCGTTCCACAAGTCAACCCCCATTTGACAGTCAATATGTTGAAATTGACAAAATGATCGTTTTGCCCTTTAACATGTATTACCCTCTAAGTCTCATTTTCATACGGTAAATTCATTATGATCAAATCACAATGTAAAGTCTAACGATCTCATCGTCGACCTACTAAGCTCAGATTCAATTTGCTTAGGAAAATACCTTAGAGTGACGATCGTCTCATCTCAATGATTAATGGATTCTAATATTGTAAGTATATGATCACTAATTGTTTCGACCCGATTCCCAAAGTATCGAGATTAATCTTCTATTTAAGACTTCACTCATTGGTACCTCAAAGAACTTGAACTAGCAATCAAAGGTACATTACTCACTTAGAATTTAGGTGACCTGTTTGATAACCAAGTAGAGCCTCATTTCAAACGGTGTCCTGTCCCGTTCAATGTGCATCGAAACACATTATTGTTTCTATTTCAAGATCTAGACAAATCTTAATAAGAACAATACAATCTTATCAACATAAAGCGTCCAACTTTATGAACCGATTGTGAACGGCATAATTTTGATCATATCACAAATTGTGTCTTACTATACCCGATATATTGAGTATACAATTTGTGACATCCTATATGATCATGGAGCCTTAGACAATCACTTCAAATTATAACACGCAAATAAACGAACGTAAATTTATAATGTGATTTTACAGAACACTACTCGAAGAATGGACATCAAACTAACATGAAGACCGTGGAAGAAATTGCTAGAGCACGAACAATATGACCTATGCGGATGGCCATAGTAGTAACTAGATTTTCTTTCTTAATTTTGCAAGTTTTGTGGAGATTGTAGGAGTTTTAAAGCAAGTGAAAACTCAGATAGTATGATGTTCAAAGGCTGTTAAAGTGCGTCTATATACATAGCTGAATGGCTATTTCTGTCTATCTTATTGCTTCGTATATAGTATTAGACATCATTTTTCACAGTCGACCTTACAAAATGAGCCATGAGATTTTGTCGTGAAGAGGCTTCAAGTTGTGATCCAAAAACTAGAACAATCCTATACTAATGGCTTTTAAATTTGGAATTGCAACTGAGGTGAGATGCTTCTTATCAACCATCCCGCCACTAATTTATATGCATGTTGAGTAGCCCCCTGGGACATAGCCCAGTGGTGCAAATGAGAGGAGTGAGGTTATCTCACGTTTTGCTGGCAACCGTAGTGTAAGAGTTTGATTCCTGAGATATGGAATTGGACTCCTTGTAGGCGCAGTGTACATGCAGCTCTTGTTCTTTGACCTGTTGGGGCACATCTCACGATTTACCTCCCTCACAAAGCTCTAGGAACGGAACTGTGAGGACCCTTAAGGTTGGGGTTCAACCTTTATATGCATGTTGAGTAGGATGAATCCCATGCCAGGTAATATATACGTACGGATTAAGACAGGAAAAACCTTGGAGCAGCACACATCTTCCTTGGATTCAAGTTATAAGCCCCTCCATTTCCACGACAAGCTTTTTGTAGTGAATTCAAATAAAATCCTGCAAAAATTAAAATAAAAATGAAATTTAGTCATTAACCTTGACAACTACCCGAACTACAAATAGATCGTAAAAGTTAATAAATAATGTTTTCCTACCATGAAATCACGCTCGAGATAGGACCCACATAAATGCATTGCAATAATCTCCATAAATAATAATAGTATTCGGATGTTCAATCTTCAACTTCTTTATAGCTTGTTGCAAAAGCTCATTATGACACATTGAAAAGTTATTGAAGACTTTAAGGCAATGAAAGTGTTGATCATAAGCGCTCGGGTCATTTGTGTGAAACCTAGTGAGATAGATCGGAAAACAATCAATAGGAAAATTACTAGGAACGACTACTCGAGTAGCTCCAAAATGAATTACTCTCTACATCATTAGCAAAATAGCTAGTTAGAAAATATTTTCAAGAAGAAATGTCTAAGAAAAAGAAAAACTTACCCTAACAGCATTTGCAATGACAACAACAACTTGAGATACCATATCTTTTGATTCTTGAATAGATTTTCCTTGGAATAATGCAAAGTTATAATCATTACCACCTATTTCTCCAACCTGAAGAGAGACTTCTCATTCTTCTCAACACAATCTAAAAAAGAATCAAGAAAATCATTCCTAGTATAAATTAATTGAATTATTGATCCTCATATCAATCCTAAGCCTCACTTTTGATAGTAGATTTTGTAAAAAGTGATTTTTTTCCCGAAGAATATGTGGTTAAATAGCTGAAAAAAATTCTTGGTTTACATGCAAAATTATTTCATTAAGAGAATGTGGTTGAAAAACGAAGGAAATATGAGTTTTGAAAAATGAGGATCAAATTAGGGCTCAAGAATGAACACCAACGAACCTTTTTGATCGTGGCATGTTGAATTGAAATGAGAATGCATCCGATCCAATTGTACGTCAAGCGAACTGTTGGTTACTATAGATGAAATGTTTTCTGCGACCAATGTTTCTACTGGTAAAGCAGTGGAGCCTGATACTGCAAAGTTTACACCGTTTGAGACGTTTGCTCACTACAAGAAAAATGGTCTTTTACAACATTTAAATGGCAACATTCACCAATAGTATGTTGCTAAAAGAGGTTTATTGCAACATTCAGCAAATGCATGTTGCCATTGATTGAGAAAATTAAGATTTAGCAACGTTCTTTGAGTGGTTGTTGCTAATATCCCCTTTCGCAAAGTTCGAAGACCGTTTTTTTTTTTTTTTTGGCAACGTGTATTAACCGTTGCTATAGATGTTTTTGGCAACGTGCATTAACCGTTGCTCCAACTTCTTTGTAAGGTTATAGTGATGGCAGACCTGCCGATAATGCTGTAACATATACAATTCATACAACATTGTTAACTCAGAATCATACGAATTAGTAATAACGTCGATAGGGACAGTCTACATTCCTTCTTCTCTGGTCTACCCTAATATTAATTGGACAGTCTAATGGCTGAACTATTTCGGGAAGAAAGCTTATTTTTGAACATGCATAATAGTAGGTGTAATTTTACACTTACTCGTGCCATAAAAGGAATCCGGTGTTTGAGAGTACCTATATTGGCTAGATACTTGGTCCCTGTTAGGATTCCATTTTAATTTAATGCATTTTTCTCTATCCCATTTTTAACCACACATTCTTCAATAAAATAATATTACACATAAACTCAAAAAAATTTCTTCATTTTTAACCACATGTTTTTCAATAAAAAAAAAATTCATTATTTCAAAATACATTTTCTTCGAAAATATATTAAATGAAGCACAAAGAGGGGTTTAATTTCGTTTGTTTAATTATAGGGGAAAACCTGTTATTGAACGAAAGTGAATGAGATTTGATAAATATATATATATAAAGAGGATTAAAGTTGGTCGAAATTTGGCATTCGAGGACCAAAGTATCAAGTTTGAAAGTTGAAGTACCGCTATCTCACCTCACATACTGAGATACAAGTCTTTGTTTGACAAATTTATAAATCATTTATAAAGAGAACTAATAGTGAGTCCCACAAAAAGTGTGGATAATAAATGAGTAGTGGTTATAAATACGAGATTGAAATTAATATTTGATTTTGACTTAGACAAACAGTAATTCTATAACATATTTAAATAAATAAAAAAATATTTGTCAAACAAGTTTAACGTTGAATGAATAATTGTCTTACCAATGAAGTCAATCATAAGCAGACCATTTGAACATCGACCTGTTGCATTTTTGAAAAATGTTTCTCCATAAGGAAACCTTGCACAAGGAGAAAGCGATCCCATTGGACTCTCTCGAATTCGATTTCCAGTGTCGGATATTGAATTTCCAAGTTGATATATTTTATCAAAATGGTAATTCTTGAAACTATCAAAATATGAAATTCGGAAGAGTATGCCGGGCAATACTAATCGGAGAAAGTAGAAAAAATAACAAAGAAACGAAGCTAAAAATTTCAGAGTTCACCGTTGCTATTTGCTTAAACCCTAAAAGAATCTAACGTGTTTGTGTATGAGAACAATGTTCAATGCATCCATATTTATAGAGTACGAGAACATGTACCACGTGCACAAGTTTCTCATTTTAGGATATGAAATAAATTCAAGTCACTAAGAGAGAAAAAAATTATATAAATCAATACAATTACAATCTTACTCATGCAAGGTGAAAATTTTGACCATTATATTAAACATATTAACTTGGATGGTAAATGAGGAAAAATAAATAAGTTTAAAGACTTGTTTAAGCGATTTGATTTGAAAATATGTATATACCAAATACCAAACCGTCCTCATCCCTTGTTACAAGAACGAAAAAGCAGATACGATTGCTCAAGGGATCCATAGGTAAAGGACTATTGTGCAAAACTCCCAATATTATATGTTTGGTAAATTAGGGATAGACCCCCTAACCTTTCAATTAATATAGTTTTTGGTTCTCACCCTTCAAAATTGATGTTTTGAATCTTCAACTTAATTAATATTTGTGAATATGGGTCTTCATGTAATGAAAAGTAAAATTGGTTTAGGTTAAGTTAAAGTCGCGTGTGAGTTTAACATCCAAATTGACGATTTTTATCATGTAGGGAGTCAAGCCCTAATTCTCTCTAAAAGTTTTGGTAATGGCTCACAACAATTTTTATATTGGGAAAAATTGACCTCTATCATACTTTAACATAACTTTTTGAATACAGAATGCTTAACGTTTTCCATAAAATACTGCCCGTCTCAAAATGGAAAATAAGTCACGATAAATTAGCTTTTGTAACAGAAAAGTATGGAGAGAATTTTCTGTTGCTATAGGTAATTAGTTACACAAGTTTATTGTGACTTTAATTTTCTATGTTTAGAAGGCAATATTTTTTCGAAAACGTTAAACCTTCTGCATATCTATAATCTTTAGGAAAGTTTTAAAAAAAAGGGTCATGACAGCCTAAAGGCGCAGGCAAATAGCGAAGGTTGACGATAAGAAAGTGACGAAAAAAGTTTTGGATACACGTGCCTAATGAAAAAATCTTGAGGACTTGAAGCGCAATTGGAATATGGCGCCACAAAGTAAAATGACTTGAATACAATTGCTCATATATTAAGGGCATATTTGATTGACAATATTTTTCATAGAATGGAATTTAAATTTTGTTTACAACTAAAATGACATGTTTGATAGCAATTTTTTTCATAGAATTTGTTTTCCTCCAACACCTCATGTGACAGGATTTTCCATGGTTTTAAGGAATTGGTTTTCTTTGAGTTTTGGTGGGAAATGCTTTTTCATTTTATTTTTTTCAATAATAAGACCAAATTCTATTCATAATTATAAAAAATTTTATCCCTTTAATTGTAAAATATAGAAATATTGTACGGAATATTTTCCATTAAATTTTTTCTTTTAGTGTAGGATTATTTCCCCTAGTAGTTGATTATGCAATGTTTCCTTATAGGTTTATTTTCTTTTAGTGTTATTTGTAACCCTATAAATATGGTCTTCTACATTGTAATATTTAAGATCTTACATTATAAAATCATTCTTATTTTTCTTAACATGGTATTAGAGCAATATTTTTTTTAACATGGTATCAGAGTAGTTTCGATCCTAAATAAACTGACCGTTGAATTATGTTTCCTGGCCAATCTTGTATTCTTTGGTTCCTCGATTTTTTTTTATTCCAAACCCAAACATTACATATACACAGAGAAAGGTGAGTGGCTGGAGAGCAGGAGAATTAATAAGGATGCTTGTTGCTGAATTACATATGCAACACAAACAGCAGCTTTGGGAAGAAAAGAGGGAGTCAAAATTGGGGGCTGCCATGTGCTGTATTAATTCTATAACATGTTCACAAACATTGGTATATTCAAGAACACGGAAATTGAGGCAGCTTTGGGAGATAGATAGAAACACAATCGGCGGCTCTCTTTTCTTTTTTGCAAATTTTATTTTTCTCCAAATTCTTCTTCTATTTTAGTATTTTTAATCTTTTAGAGTTGTTAAAAAAAAATGTTTTTTTTCCCTTTTTCTTGAGAATTTAATTCTGTTTTATTTGGAGGGTCTGTACCCTAAATTTTACCAACTCTTCCCGTGTCCCTTAAACAAATTAGGAGTTTTCTTATGTTAAAAAAAACTTCGGAGGATCGGTACCTTGAACTTTATCGGCTCTCCCCCTACCTCTTAAACAAACTAGATTTTTTTTTTTTTTTTTTTTTTTTTAATTTTTTTTTTTTTTTTTTTTGTGTTGAATTTTTTTTTTTTTTGAATGGGCAGCACCTTAAACTTTATCACCTCTTCCCCTACTTCTTAAACAACCTAGAGGTTTTTTTATGTAAAAATAAAAAATAAAAATAAATTAAAAAATTTTGAAAGGTCGGTACCTTGAACTTTATCGACTTTTCCACTGCCTCTTAAAAAACTAGAGGTTCTTTTATGTTAAAACAAAAACTTTGGAAGGTCGGTACCTTGAATTTTATCGACTCTCCCCCTGCCCCTTAAACAAACTAGGGTTTTTTTTTTTTTTTTTTGAAAAACACTTTCTTCTTTATTTTTCATTTAAAAAAAAAATGTGTCCATCAAATATTTTCTTCTAGAAAACAAGAAGACACTTAACTTCAACAATAATGACAAAGACCTCAAGTACTTGGAGTTCATTCTACATCAATTTGGAAGATTTGATTGGATCAATTTCTTCAAACTCAATATTCTACACCATATTGAGTTTGAGGGGAGGGTGTAAAATATAGAAATATTGTATGGAATATTTTCCATTATATTTTTCCTTTTAGTGTAGGATTATTTACCTTAGTAGTTGATTGTGCAATCTTTCCTTATAGGTTTATGTCCTTTTAGTGTTATTTGTAACCCTATAAATATGGTTTTCCAAATTGTAATATTTAAGAGCATACATTATAAAATTATTCTTATTTTTCTTAACATGGTATTAGAGCAATATTTTTCTTAACATTAATTGACAATTTTCATGGAAAACGTCAAATGAACACTAAAAGATAAAAAATTTCAACATTTTTCGGGTGAAAAATTATAAAAATCAAACACATTTAATTGACAATTCTCATTAAAACAAGTTTTAGGCAATTCAATTATCTGCAATTCGTTTTCTTTCCACTCAAATTTCATTCTTACAATCAAATGAACCCTAAGTGTCATATGAGTTGAGTATTATTTTTCGAGCAGTTTTATCTTAAGTTTTATTTTTATTTTTTCGATTATTTCAATAATACCCACCCATAAAGACAAACTGAATGAAGTCAAAGAATTTATTATTATTATTATTTTTTTTTTTAAACTCATGATAGACTTCAATTTATATTTGTTGAAATACAAACTCGATATAATTAAATATTCATGTATTGAGTTTTAGTGCCACTTATTTATTTTAATAAATAGATACATAAATTAAGTTAATTCTTGTACTCGCTACCCTATTCTGCCACTAATCTAGCCATGTGTCTTCATCAATTGGACCAAAATTTGCTTCTGGTTGTGTTGTATGTGTGATTCTACATTAATGGTTTACAAATTCGGTGTTGGATTTAGGGTGTGTTTAAGGTGAAGGTGGTGGTGGTGGTATTGGATTTGTGTATTGGAGATGAAGGTGGTGGTGGTAACGATGGTTTGACTGTGTAGGTGGAAATTTAAGGTATTGAAGGTGAAGGTAGAGGTGTTTCAGTTGTAGAGTTGATGATGGATTTTGAGGCACAAGTGGTGTTGCTTGTAGATTCGAGGTGGTGTTGGGGAGGGATGGAAGTGGAGGTGGTAGATTTGCGGAGAAGGTGGTGGTGAACAGTTGTGGATTTGAGATGGTGGTGGCAGTGGGTGGCGCCAATGGTGGTGGATTGGGGTAGGATGGGGTGAGATGAGCTGAAGAGTAAATGTGATCGTTTAATTGTATAACTTTTGACTAATAAATAATTAATGACCAATTAAAATTTTTGATTTACGACTAAAATACACAAATTGTGTCTTTGTTATTGTAATATTGTGTAATTTGTGACTAGTATCTGATCGTAATAATTTTTTTTATAGTATTATAACCATGACTTGATTAATTAAATTATAAGTTACAAATTTTTATCAGGAATCACAAAATGTGACCACGATTTTTGAAAATATTCTGTAAGTTTGTTACTTTGAAAATATATTTTGGAACTTTTGTAACTAAGTGAAAAGATATTTCCTTCCATAATATCAAATATCTCTGGGTCAGCCAGTCCCATTTCTACCCCAGTCCAAAAAATATTCCTATATAAGAGTAAGTATGCCACATTTCAAAATTAAGAAACAAAGTTTAGAACTTCAAAAATTAGATTTTATTTATAAAATAATTAATTAAACATATATTTTATTAATTAAATATTGATGTCACAATTCTATATAATTTGGTCATAAATTATTTTTCGATCACAATAAAAATTTTTATAGGTCATAAATTATTTTATGATCATAAATCAAAAATTTTATAGGCTACAAGTTATTCATCGATCACAAATTTATCATATTGATGGTTTACATATTATTCATTGTTCACAAATCACAAATTTTACAATCACAACTTAATTTATGGTCACAAAATATCTAATTAATTAGCCACAAATTACTTTACGATCACAACTTAACAAATTTTTAGGTAACAAAATTATTTATTGGTCAAAATTTATCGATTTCATTGGTCATATATTATGTATTGATCACATATTAACCAATTTATTACTCACAAACAATCAAATTATTTGTGACCACCACCTCACCATTACCACCAGCCACATCGCCGCTGAAACACCATAGCCAAACCCACCACTTCCCGATAGTAAAACCATCATCTCAAACACCACTACCATCAACCTACCATTCTACAAGCACAACCCCACAAAAAAAATTTCCAAATCTGTCGTCGGGCACTTACCATCACCGCCTGTATCAACAATAACTGCTACCACCACCATCTCCATCGCCACCTCCAACACACTATCATTTTCAACTTCAAATTTGCCACCTGCACTACCTTACCACCACCACCAATAAAACCACCGTCACCACCACCTTATTACCAACAAAAAAAAAAAAACCAAACAACTCCAGCTAAGCAGATTAGATTCGAATAGGAAGAAATCACCCCAAAACCTCGAAATTAACCCCCAATTTTTCTCTGGTATTGATATCGCATCTGGTCACAAACGATATGCCTATTGTTCTTTGTTATCAATGTCACGTCTAGCTATAGGTAGTGCGTCTAAGATGGTGCATAGTTGGCAACGCTACTGTTGCAACAACAGCAGTGTCGTTGCACTGCCGCAAGTTCACAGAAACGTCTAGCACAATGGCAGCTACTTATTGGACAACGATTAGGACGTGGTGTGTTAGGAAGAGTACTTATCGAACAGTGACTAGAAGTGTGGATGGAGAGAGAGAGAGAGAGAGAGAGAGAGAGAGAGGTATGGTGGCCTGGGGAATATATTGAGGTTTGGGATTTGGGTGTTAGATGAGAAATTTTTATTTATATTTTAAATTAAAAAAATAATTATAATCTGATTTTTGAAAGAAAATAGTTATAATCTTATTTTTGAAGTTGAACATTTAAATGTATAGTTGTGTGTAATTTCCACAATAAAATGTACGGGCCCAACGAACCACTATATGCATCATTCACGAAATATTTTCTTTAGAATTAATTCACCGCAAGTGTATGGTTCATTAACAAGTAATAAAGTAAAATATTGAGTTCTGAATCGTTCTACAGAGATTGAGTAGTTCAATTTTATTCCACCGTAGCCTTTACCGAAACGAGTTTATCAAAATTGAAGTTTTAGCCTAAGAAAACCCTAATTTATCAAAACCCTAATTATGGAAAACCCTAGTTTTGCTAAAATGACTGTTAAATGTTTTAAAGACACAATACGATGTATCTAAATGAATTTAAATGCAATAAGATGATTGAAATGCAAGTTGATTTTACTCAATGAAATTAAACCGCACTAGGATCACGAATTTCTATGTAATGATCACTTAAAATCCTAATTTCACAATCTGACAACATGTTTGGTTTATTGAAAAATCAATGCTCCTAAATCTATCCAACACACTCTATCGAGCAATGTTGAACCAATTCTTATATACTACCAGCCTATATCTCCATGACGGATGCATATGTATATGAATGCATGGGGTTTTATGAGCAATTAACGATTCGCGCACAGCATAGAGGAATATCTCTATCCTCTATTGGACCCTAGATGATTTATACCTTGTCAAATTTATTTCCCTTCTCTTGAATGCAAGAAATAAATCACTACACATCACATAATTACGTGCACTTAATTATGTAATAATATATTGCATATAAATCATTCGAATAATCAAATACGCATTTAAATGTCGAATTGCAAAAATTAAAATCCAAAGATTACATTACATAATTCATCGATCTCCTAGTACAAGAAAATCTAGCCTAACATGGAAAACATAAAAGAATACATAATTCTTGAAGATAAAATATCACTAGATTATAGATACGCATGCAATCTTGATTTTTTCGTGAAATCCTTCGTAAATTTCCCTCAAATTCGTCTCTAAGATGTGTTTTGTTCTCCTCCAATGCGTTCTGACCCTAATTCTGACAAGTCTAGGCTTTTATATTGCGTCAAGATCGAGTTCCAAAAGAGTTTTGGCGTAAATAGAAAACTATTGAAACGGGTCACCATTTTACACCATGCGGCCACATGGTTGAACCCAAAATGGGGCTGGAATTCCCTGTTGGGGTTTGTGCGGCTATATGGTAATAACACCATGCGATCGCGTGGTTAATGAAATTTTCTTGTTGTGCCATTTTAGTCCCCATACTCAATCTTCTTGTTTATTGGCTTCCTTTCTTTGTCCATCTTGTTCCATCATCCCGCAATGGTTTCCAATCGATACTTAGCTTATTCAATTACTTGATTAGCCTTTTAGTTCAACTTTTGGATATTTGCACTTTGGTCCTTGAACTTTCACTTTGCTTCGTTTTTGGTCTTTTTCGCTCATTTTTATCATGAATTCCGTCATGTTCATCAATATAACCTACAATACAAGAATTGAACGAATTTAAGCTATAATTTCAACACTTTGCTCGTAATTTAGTCATGTTTGTGAATTGTATAAGTACATAAAAATGCACTTATCATACATAATACATAATTCCTGTTTGGATTAATAAAAATTAGATATTTAGTATATTTTTATAAAAATTGATGAAATAAGCGATTAAAAAATTGATAAGAATATGAATATCATGAAATATATTATTAAAATTAATTATTCAATCTAGTTTAAATTTTTATAAATTTTTTATCGGAACCAAATGGATGATAACATATATTACAACTGCACGCGTCACCTCTTTATTGGCCGACAAAATTAATAAAAAGTTCAAACTCATGGATTCACCAAAGTACTACTTTTGACCTACTACCCACCGACCTACGTGTCCTGTCCACAAATCATATTCTCTCTCTAAAACGCATCTACTCTCACACTATTTAAGTCCAAGGTCACAGAAAAGAGCAAGCAACCAAAAGAACACACTGTTTTCACGAGAAAAACACCAAATCTAGGGCTTTGCATTAAAGAAAAAGTTGGGTTTTCTCTCTTTGACATGCTCCAAAAGAGATGATCAAAAATTGATGGACGGTTCCGATTATATCATGGAGTTGGTTGAAAATTATAAGGTGAACTGCACATTGACTTCGATGCTAAGATTTCTCTAAAGGAGACGGAGTCACAATCTCATGTGCTTGGTTCGGGCACTTCCCTGACTCAGTCTGTTCTCAGGTTTTTGTCATCTTTCTTCTCGTTTTATAGTAGTCTTGTTTATGATAAAGTTCGTAGTTTGACATGCAAGTCTCCAGAGGTAGACAACTTCTGATTTTAGCTGTAGGCCTTGTTATATTTTCTGTTGATTTGTATTTTGATTCTAGTTGTAGCCTTTTATATTATTACAATAATAAAATGTTGAAATGCATAGATGATGAGAGGTGCTATTTTATTGGGATGTTTTCGTGTTGAAAATTATAAATCTTAATTTTATACCATCAAGAGAAATAAAATCGCAATAAAGAAAAAAGAGACAAAATAAAACAGAAGATTTATAGAAGTTCACTTCAATGTGAAAATACATCCTCATCTATTGTTACAATAATTCACTATGATGAAAAGAAGTTCACAAGAGAAAAATCTTACACTATTTTTGGTAACATTTCTCTCTTTTTGATGACGATGAAATAAAATCTAATGACCGCTTTATATTTATAAAACAAAATTAGGCAAAATCAAAATTATAAGTGTGAAATTCTTAAACGATCCTTAATTAATGAAGTAGGCTCTATGACTTAACATTTCGTGCATCAACTGATTCCTTTCTCTAATAAGCCTACTAAATGCAAATAAGATTTTAACCTCTTTTTGTTAGTTTATATGTCTGTAGCAATCCCACTATGGAAGATAATAGAGAAACTAAAATGAAATTACGAATGGAACCTATTGTTCATCTTGATGACTTGTTCAGAGTTTGGTCTTTTTTCCTGTTTATGCAATTTTATGTTTCATGTGTAAATTGACGATAATGGTATTAAGCCCTTGTTTGAACTCCATTTTTTCCATCAAAATGGATTCTTGAATAGTGATTTGACCATATTTCAACAACTCATTCTTTAAATAAAATAATATTATTCGCAAATTCAAATTTTTCCTTATTTTTAACCACACATTCTTCATCATACAATAAAAAAAATCCTTTTTTTAAAAAAAAAAAAAAAAAAAAAAGGGGCTCAAACAACCCTTAAATATACTATCTATGATGTTGAAGACGACTTTCTTGTGTAAATTAATCAAAGAATTTGTTATGAATGATGAGCTGAATTCTCTTTTGCCCAGTCCGAAAAATTCACGGGAGACATTTGTAATGAAACCAAAATAATGAGAATTTTTGTGTGTCCGTGGTGGTAGTAGAGGGATCCCGTATATATATTTGGGTTTCGATATAATATTCTTAGTCGTCCAAAGTAATTATCTCTTGTACTTATTTGCGATATAATGGATTTTTCCCTCCTCTATCCGTGGCTTTTTCCTTCTCCGGTTTCTACATAAATTTGTGTGTTCTCGTTCTTAATTTTTCTATAGTCTATTTCACTTTTTCGTAACAAAATTTCAATGTTGCACATCAACATCTACTTTTACATTGATACACAGTAATGCGATCCTGCAGGTGATTAATAAATTTGCGAGTGGTAAACGAGAAAAAATAAGCAAGACTATTATCTGATATACTAATGGGCATGGCTGCTGGTTTGAAGAGAGACGCTGTTGTTATTCTCCGATTTGATGGTGAAGAACTGCTTGAGTTTTTGAAGAGCCCGACTTTTGAAACGGATGTACTTTCCATTTTCTCCGAGATTGGGTTACCAGATAGATCTCTTCGAGATTGCATTATGGAGGCTTTTGCGAAACTTACTGTTGATCAAGGGATGCCTCCGGCTACAGATCCTTGGGTATTCATTCCATACTTGTATTGTCAAAAACAAGTGCAATTTTTAGTATGGAGATAATGTTGGTGCTCATTTTGTAGGTTGTAAGCAACATTGTGGAACCAGCACTACAATCCCTTGATAATGTCTCTCAACAAACAGTTTCACAAGAGGCATTTTCAGCCGAGTTTAAAAGAGCTATAGAGAGTGTGGCACAACATCTCAAGGAGAAACCCTCAATCGTTGCTCATAGTCAGAATACTTTCGATGGAAGTGGCTTTGAGAGATTGTTGTCGAACAAATTCGAGTTACATGAGGTTAGTAGAGAAATAGTTGGTGCGTCCAAGCATAACACAACCTATTCGTTCTTTTCAATAGGCTGTGAAAATCTTGGAGTTGGATTTCAGAAAACGACCTATTTATACATTTCATTATCATTCTTTTGTTCAATGCAGACACTGAATTCTGCTATAGAAATTGTACCCAAAAATCAAAATGGGGAAATATCGAAGGAATATTTCCGTGGAGTTCTTGAGATTCTTGCCTCTTCGGCTGGCTTACCTCCAATTGGTGCTCTGGATCAGGTATTTGTCGTCCTTCAATAATCCTAGCCCCGTCTCAATAATACTTGTTCAGTGTCATCTATAATGATAATAATTGATGAATTAAAAAGTGTCCATTTGTTTTCTTATCAATGTATTTGCAGATAGATCATGTTACGACTGAAGCTCTTAAAATGTTTGAGGTGAATGAACGGAAAATGGTTAACGAAGAAGAGTTCAAGAAGTTATTGACTCAAGTACTCGAGACCGTCGTGCAACATTTAGAAGCCAATCCAATATCAGTGTCTGTAAACTCAATCGTGCACGAGCCACATGCTTCATCCTCGACCTCATCTTCACCATAGTATGTCTAGAAGTCCTTAAATGTTGTGAACGAAGAAATTAATATGTGTGTCTAGTAGTATTTGATGAAGATGATGTTAGTTGAAAGTTATATTATGACGTGTTTTTCAATGTATAAATATGCAAATATAGGTAAAAAAATGGACTTACGTGAGTTGCGTCTCGAGTAGAAGTGGTCTCGTTAATTTTCTTTTCTCGATGAAAAAAGTCAACTCCACGTAATGACTATTGAGTGGGTGCTATTCGGTTGACTAATGATTGTGAAAATAATTGGAAGAAATGCCATTAGAATTGTGTGAGTCATTACCAAAATTGAATAAAAATACGGACCGTGTTGTTTTGATCAATCATTTTTTTTTAGTTAGGGCGAAGATTTTATTCAAAAATTCTCTCTCTTTATCATCAATCAAATCGCTAAAATAAGTTCTTGGTTGATTCCCTTTAAAATTTTAATACATTTTACACTCTCTTTTTTTAAATCACACATTATTTAATAAAATAATATTACACGTAAATAAAAAATTATTCCTTCTTTTTTAATCTTACATTCTCCCAAAAACTATTATTCAAAATATATTTTACCTAAATTTCTCAATATAATGGTTGTCAAACAGGAATCAAGAATTGGATTTTCATTACAGGTTCCCTTTTCTAAGGGAAAATTACACCACACCAGATATTTAAAGATGAAAAATTCTAAAATCATGTATTAATATTACTTAAGCAAAAAACAGGTATTTGTCAAAATTAAAAATATTCTCTCTCGTCTCTCTCTCTCTCATTTGCACACTCTCTCTCATCATCTATCCCTCCAACTACTTTTGCACAATTAGCGCTTGAGTTATGATTTTTCCTCTTCATTGCCAGAGCTCCTGCCATCGAGGTCAGCATAGCAGCGTGCGGTGCTCAGTCGTTGAGCATTGTGGTAGCGATCTAAGTGCCTTCCAGTGGCGATTTTGATAAGCTCCATCCCAGACTAATCCAATCAAAAAATTGAGATTCCAACTTAATTTCAAATAAGCTCTACCCCTGTTAGACTTCAGCTTTGGTGTTAGGTAGCTGCAATCTGGCTTTGGGTTAGTCGGTGTAAGGTGGTGTTAGTGGTGTTGTTGTCGCTGCCACACGACTGTCACCACTCATGGCAACCACAACTTTCAGTCGCCAACTTGTGCCTCCGATTTGGTGCTTTATCGGAGTTCTGACGTTGGTGATTTACTTGGTTGTTGGGTTGTTAGTGGTGATGGTAGTAGAGAGATAGTGGTAGTTGTGATGAAGTGTTACAGTGATAGTTATGGTGGTAGATCAATGTCCATAGGTGGTGATGGTGGTGGTGTTTATGTCTTAGCCAATTAAATTTTTGTAACCAAGTCTTTTGAATATGTGACTCGTCTAATTGCAAGGGTCACATGCCACAGATTCAAAAGATTTAGTTACAGACAATTGATCAGGTCACAAATCACATATCCAAGAGATTTGTTCACCTCCCAATGGATTAGGTCATGGTCACATATAACATAGCATATGTCAAAGTGCATATGTCACAAGTCACAAATTTAAGAGATTTGGTTACATACCCAAGAGATTTGTTCACTGGATATTACATCAGGTCATAGGTTACGCGTCAAATGCAGAGGTCAAAGGTCACGGATTCAAGAGAAATAGTCACAGGCTATAGCTCAGGTTACATTTCACATATCCAAAAGATTTGGTTATAGGCTATTGGATCAGGTCACATGTCAAAGTGTGTAAGTCACATGTCCCAAATTCAAGAGATCAGATCGCATGTCATTGATTTCTTCGACCTCAATCGATGGGGATTGGGTTCAAATTCAATTAACCAAATTTCAGCCATGAGAATTCAAGCTATTTTGCTCCAGTAAGTACTCTGTAAATTATATCGGAAGCTGTTTTTCAATTTTAAAAAAGCATTTTAAATTATACCAACACTGATTAGTCTCAGTCACCGACGAACTCAATTGTCGTTGAGCATCGATTAGTTTGCCGTCGAGAAGACGTCACCAATGGGATGGAGGTCGGGGAATGTCAACGACGAGTAGATGCCGACAAGTAGAGTGGGGATGGTTGGAGTGGGTATGGTAAATTAATTTAATTTGATAATATTATTATTTAAAACTAAAACAAAATAAAAACCTGAATTTTGTATTTTGAAACTTAATCTCTGAAAATTGATTTGGTGCACACTTAACAGCTGAGTTATGATTTCTTCCATTTTTCTTTTCTAACAAAACTCATAAAAAAATCAATCGTACTGGGGGCCCATTTAGCAGGGCTTTCTTTTACTTTTATAAAAGAATTTTTTCAAGAAGTTATTATTCAAACATATTTAAAACCAATTTCTTAATCTTAAAAGTAGTTTTAAATTTTCAAAAGCCTAGCCAAATGGACGTAAATATCAGTCAAATTTTGCCCCTGTTGGAGATTCATTTTTTGTAAAAATGGATTTTATAATAGTGATTTTTTAAACAATGCATGATTAATAGCAATTTTCTAAAAAATAGCTAAACGTTACATCTTAGCAATAATCCTGAAATTAAGCTGGTAAATGTCAAATTGACCACTTAATGCACAACTAGGACTGCCTATGTACGTTTTATTAAATTTTTTCCCTTTTTATTAAATGTCTTTTATTTGATTTTAGTTTATTATTATTTTTTTTTTTACAAAACTTTTTATTTGACTTTAATTTCAAGTTTGTAAATGACTTTATCCATACAAAAGTCAAAAATAACTTTATCCGATAAAGAGTTAAATAAAATTTAAGTTATGATGCTATTTACATTAAGTAATTAAGATTTTTAAACTTATTGTTTTATTGAAAACTTCGAAAATATGTATGAGGTTCCTTTAAATCTTTTAAATAGGACTTATCTATTGAAAATTGAAAATACGAAAAATAATCTAGCTTGTGCATTTCAAAAACTTGAAAATTGCAAAATTGATTAATTGTATAAAAAATTATTAAGTAAATATAGTATTTTATAATTTTAGATGTTTTTTATGTATTATTTTTTACTTATTAAATGATTTTAAAAATGATTCAAATTTTAAAAAAATATTAAAGATTAGAAAAGATTTTTTTACGCCCAGACCTCACCTATGTTCGCTTAAGCTCGTAAAACTTGAAGATTGACCTTCACATCTAGTTATGCTTTAAACTTTTTAGAACATTAATTAAAAGTACGAGAATGATTTAAATTTACGTGCAAAATTATTTTTTTGAAAAAATATATATATTTCGAAATTCGTGTAATTGGTATCGTCAAGTTAAAAAATGAAAGGTAACATTACTTTTAAGGAACCTTTTGTCCTTGAACATGTTTAAATAAATTTTCCCCCCCCC